TATATTTATGCATTTATATTTATATACTTATATAAATATATTTATATTTATAATTTTTATAACATAAACCACAAAAATATCATTTTTTTAAATTTCAAAAATCATTATTTCATAACAAAAAACATATAAAAATTGATAACAAAAGTTACCCAGCTTCCTAGACTTCATGGCAATTAGCTGCAGGAATATTTGGAGAATGTACCCAAAATAGCTCATAATGAACAGAAGGATTCAGACCTTCATTCAAAGCACAAAAAAACCAATTTGCACTCTGGGGAACCACTTCTTGTGTCCCCAAAAACGATACAGATATTAAATTATAAATAATGTTGACCCAGCAGCAGATGACATTTGCCACAAACCTGAAATGGAAGATTTCTGGGTTGTGTTCTCTGAGTTCTTTGCTCTCCCCGTGGCTCCACCTGTGGCACGGAGCTCCCAGGATGAGCACAGCGCTTCTTTGTGAAAATCCCTGGGATTAACGGGGACACAGCTCCAAATCCAGCTCCACCCAGTGATTTGTGTCACCTTCTGTCACCCTGTGGGAAGCCCTGCTAATTCCCAGAGAAATCTGCACCCACAAATGTTCTGATGTAAATAAAATCCTCAGAGGGAGATGCTTGGTATCCCCCTCCCACAAATCCCAATCCCAGGAGCTGAAATTCCTTCACATTCCCTTCAGTGCTCCCTTGTGTGATCCTCTAAAGTGCACTCAGCAGTTTTGGGCTTTGAACTTTGATTTTATGTTGGTTTTCACACCCAGCCCCTGTGAGATGTGGTCACCATGGTCTGCTTCAGGTGCAGGGTCTGCAAAGCTCTTCCTCTGTGAGGGCCGGGTTGAAATTCTGATTTAATCCTTTGTGAGGTTACGTAAGGTGCTCAGGAGAAGTGCCCATCCCTTTTTGAGGCCAGCAGGGATGTCAGGGTGGGTTCAGCTCTTGGGAAAAGGTAGAAAAGACAAGAAAAGTGACCTTTGGGAGAAGGAAGAGCCCTGGGGCTGTCACAGCCTCAGCTCAGTCACTGTGGGTCAGGGTGGGGTCACTGCACACCCTGGAGGAGGAACCAGAGGGTCACAGAATGGTTTGGGTGATCCTTAAAGATCATCTCATTCCCACCCCCTGCCCTCAGGTGTATCAACACCTTCCTTGGGGAACCACAGGGATCATCAATCCCACCCCAGCTCTCCACAAACACCCCAAAAACCCCACCCTGGGTGGTGTCCAAACCCTCCTGGAGCTCCTGGGGAATGTCACCGTTCGTCCAAACCACCCAAACACCTGAAACAGCATTTTCTTTGTCTTCGAGAGACTATATTTGCATATATTTACATGAATTTACAGTTTTTATACGCATTTATCTCCACAAACAAAATATTTTAAAAATATATTTACTACAGTGTCTCACGGCGTAGGGGAAAAAAAAAAATTGAGTTTGTTCTCGGCTTCCAAATGAAAAATAAGGATCAGAAAATGCTTTCTAGTTGTTCAAATAAAATAAGCATTAGCAAGATACAGCCTAAACAAAAAAAAAGAAAAATACATCCTTAAGGTAATTGAAATTTCCCATTTTAGTAAGTTTGGCTCTGTTGCCTCAGTACCTGCTCTTTTCTAATATTCCAAAAAAAAAAATAGGCACAGATGGCACCTGAATTTCCATTATAATAAATCAGGGAAAAAACTGTAAACACTTCTGTGATAGATTTTTCCATGTGCAAAACAGAAAAATCCAGCCTTGCTGGACACACAGTCAAAGGACTCCTCATAATTCACCCATCTCCTGTCATTTGTATGGGGTTCCACCACCCAAATTGTGTTCTCCTGAAAAACTTGGCCCAAGCACCCCTCAGTCCTGAGCAGGAGGATGAATCCAGGTCAGATCTTGTGGCCTCGATCTCTTCTCCACAAGAACTCAGCTGCTCTGTGCTGGGCACACTTTGGGCACTGGGTTACTGACGGGGAGGGATTTGCATTTCTCTGAAACAAAATTTATAGGAGGTTTATGGTCCCTTTCAGGAAATATCTAATATTTTTCAATCAAGGCAAACCAGCAATTAAAGGGGGTGGATGCTTTTATAGAGCACTCCTGGATATTTTGGTGCTTTGCAAAGGTCACACTGCTCCCACTAATCTTCTTTTGTGGATGGGAACGGGGCCAGTTCTGGTTCATTTATTGCACTGTGTATTTTTTAAAGCTGAATTGTTTATTGTGCATCGGATTTTAATTTGCTTAGTGCTTTCCTGGGATTCTGAGTTACGTTATTTGTCGGGAAAAGGACTGTAAAATTATAACTGCTGGGCCCTGATGTAGCAATTCAGTGCTGATATGCAAAGATTACGAAATAATCACTCAGTGCTCAAACAGAGCATTGTGAGGTGTGAGGATTTCCTCACAGCAACTGGAATAGGAGGGAATTTCTTAGGGAGAAACTGCAGAAAGCTGTGCAGGGCTGAAATCCCCATCCCAGCCTTCAACTGCTGGGTGAGAAGAACGATTCTGTGTCTCTCTAGATGATTTCAATGTCTGCACCGAAGCTGGGTGGAGAAACCCTCCCAACAAGCAGTGGGTTGGGAGTTCCTGTGGTCTCTTACCGCAAAAATTAGAGAGGGAATTTAGTGCTGGACAATTTTTCGAGATGGAAATGAGAAAGAGTCTGAGGAAAAAAAAAATCAGCCTTCAGTGTCTTGTTGGGTGAAAGAGAGTCTGTGGGGCTGAGTGGAGACCTGGCCCAGGGTCTGTGTTGCACAGCTGAGGAATTTCAGAGGTTGCTGTCGACTTCTGAGGCCACCACTCAAATCCTGAGCGTGCTGAGGCACCAGCAGAAACCCTGGCACCTCAAACGAGCGTTCCCTGTGAGCCTCCCCCAAATCTAACCGCACTGCTGGTTTTATTTTTGGTGTTTTTGGACAACAAAAGCCCCTTTGGCAGAGCACCAGCGATGTCACGGAGCAGCACTGGCGTGGCCATGAGCACCTTGCACACACCGAGTCTTCCTTGAGGGATGTTCCTTGTGGGACAGGTCTGGGAGAACCCCAAGTGTCCGTGGTGATTAATAAAACCCTTAATTACAGGTTGCACATGCCATCCCAGTGCTAGCCATGCTGTATCCCCACAATTCCTGTTTGTATCTGCAAAAGGGCCTTGAATCCCGCCCAGGGGGAAAAGGGATTTTCTTTTTCTTTCTGTTTTTATGTCTTTGAGCGGTTTTGGGCATGAAGCATCAATTTATTTTTATTGTTTTTTCATTTTTTTTTGGTCAACTTCGCTAGTGCTGGAGACTGTAATATAACTGCATTTCAGCTCTGTCTGTGCAATAATTCTACCTGGACCATTTAAATCATGTTTGTTCATTAGCCATGAGGGGCTGGGTGAGTGTGCCTGTTGAGGAAAAAGCACTTTTGAGTGGATAATATGAATTTGGGGGATATGCTCCACTTCAGGCTCTGAGAGCAGAGGGATGAGAGGTGAGGGCTCCGTGGGCTGGAGTGAGCAGAGACAGGGAGCTCGGAGCAGCGAGGGCTGGGGATAAATGGGACACAACTGCAAAAGAGAATGGCAGCAAAATCCTCTTAAATGAGGTGGGGTGGGAGCACATCCATCCCTTTATGCACGTCAGAAATCAGTGTGATCCTCACCTGGGCTGGCCCTGGAGGCAAAGTCCTTCCAAAGGAGAATTTGTCATAACCAGCGTGGTGTTAGAATGGGACCATGACAAGCACCAGCTCTTAATCTGTGAACTTCATGTCTTCAGGGCAAAGGTGATGAGCAAGCTGAGAACTCGTCCTTACCTGAGAGGAGATTCTGGAAGTGTTTCCCTTCCAGCTGAAGAGATGCTCGTGACCTGGGTCCATCCCAGAAAGCTGGGAGCTGGGGATTTGTGGAGTGTGATTCATCAATTTATTCCAATTACACTCTTTGATGTGAGATGAACCCACTCCACTGACTGTAGTCATTAAAACTCACTGAGAAAGGAGTTCAAAGGGTTCTGAGGTGTAGGTGTTTATATTTTGCCAGATTATTCTCACTCTTAGTGGTCCAGAGTCTTTTAACTTGCAGAGTAACTACAGTTTAAGGGGCACTATTGCAATATTATGTGGTTTCATTAGTGCTCCTTGGGGCAGAATTTGGTCTCTTAAACCAATAAAGTAAGTTTTGTTCTTGTCTGTTTTTGATGCTGGGAATGTTAATGAAGCATTTTCTATTTGTTTGGTTCCCTGATGAGTAATTCTAAAAACATTTTTAAGCACTGTGTTTCTATAGGCTGTTGCAGACACATTGAGTCACTTTTTAAAGCACAGATTCAGTGAAAAGTGAGCAGATGGGCAGATTTTGCATGTTTGTTGTACGGATTGTGGAGCCAGTCTCTGACATGGGTGAAATAACAGTGGGATATTTTTAAATTCAACAGAACAGCAAGCGTACACAAAAGCTTAAACATTATTCATAGCGGTAACTTAGATTCTATAAAAGTTCAAATAGGAAAAAAACTAAAAAAAAAAAAGGCAAATTCACAAAATGCTGTTAAAGCTGGTGTAAAACAGCTGCTAATTTAATCAGGTCACCCGTCCCCCCTCCCCTCCTGGTGATCAGAGCTGGTTCTGCTCTTCTCAGGATGCTGCTTTGGCACAGAGTGACAGAAGTTTGGACTCAGGATTGTGAGTGGCTGCTTTCCATGACTGACTGGACCACCCCAGAACTCCACCTTGTCCTGTCTGCCCTGCATGACCTCTCCCAAATCCTCTGTACAGGTCTTTCAAGGCCCCCTTTTCCCCCCCTGTATCAGGGAAGGGTTCCCCTTCCCAGGGTGAGCCAGGCTTTGTTGAGATAAGCTTTGCTGCAAGTCAGGAAATAAAAAAAAAGCCCTGGAAAAATCCCTGGGCTGATGAAGAGACATTTTCTGAGAGACCCAGGAAATTCTCAGCCCTTGGATGATAGCAGCTCATCACCACAGTGGTCATCAAACAGACAATACAAGAGTGGACACTTCAGTGCTTGGCTTTTTTTTTTAATGGCATCCAAACACATCCATCCAGCACATTCCCAACCTCTTTTTCCTGCAGGTATCTCCAGCTGCCATCAGGCCTGTCGTGCACTGCTGGGGTCCAGTGACAAGTCATTAAAAGCAGTCTTAAAAACGGGGAGGATTTGTTTGGCAAAAGAGTCATTTGCCTCCACCCTTCCCTTTAGAATGGCATCCACGAAGCCACGCGGGCAGGAGAGTCTGGTAAGACACAGATTTGGAGGCAGCTCCCGGGAGGGGAGGGAGGAGCAGGGAATGTTTAGCTGTAGAACACGGGCTTGCGCAGGACACGCACCACGTTGTAGGTGTTCAGCCCCGGGGCGTCAAAGCCGGGGGACAAACCCTTGCGGTCGAAGGGGTAGAAGTTAAAGAGCTGCCCGTTCTGCGTCTCCAGTGAGATGGAGGCAGAGCCCAGGTGCAGAACACATGGGAATTCCTTGTCGAAAACGACTTGGAAAACACGGTCTTCCAGGTGGTGGAGCTTGATTGTCCGATACTTTTCAGGGATCAGCTCTTCCACGTGAGGCCCGAACTGCTGCATGACCAGCACCCCACCCATTCCAACTTTGATCTCATAGAAAGTCAGGTTGGAATAGGTGTAGTAGCCAACATAAGGGATTGGGTTTGGAGGAGGAACCAAGCTTTTGTCGGCCTCTCTGAAGGCTGTCTCCATGGCAGGGATGAGATACTCATATGTCCGAGTCACAATGTCCCCACCCTGAGGTCTGGGCCCCGCCATCAGCACGATGAAGCTCAGGCGGAGCTTGGGGATGAGAGAGAAGGTGGCTGAGTAACCATCAAGGTCCCCATCCTTCCTGACAACATCATACCCCAGCTGCTCGTTAATCTCCCAGGGCGTGCCCGTCTTGTTGGCGAAGTATTCAGTGGAGCATTTCAACAGGGGCGTCAGCATCGTCTTCACCGTGTCGGGCTCCAGCAGCCGGCGGTGGTAAGTGCCCAAAAAGACCATGGCCAGCTTGGCCAGGTCGGCAGCCGTGGAGTACATCTGGCCAGAGGGCCGGTACCAGCCCAGGTCGTAGAGCGGGGCCGGCTGCTGGCTGCCGTAGAAGCCCACGGCCATCTGGGAGCGGATGGGCGCCGTGATGTCGAAGCCGGTGTCCTCCATGCCCAGGCGGTCCAGGATGTTCTCCGAGACCCAGCGCTGGTACTGCCCGTCGGCAGCGTGGTCAGCCAGCACGTGAGCCATCAGGGAGAAGGCCAGGTTGCTGTAGTGGCATCTGGGAAGGAAGAGGAATATATTGGGATCAGATTTTCATCGGTGATACGATACCAAGTGGCCTCTTCTTTCCCCCTCTCTTCTTTAGGGGGAAAATTCACATTTTATGGAATGACAGATGCAAGGGAGACAGAGAAAAGCCGTGTGTTGTTGCCATGATTTGCTGTTAAATCAAGGAAAATAAATGTTTTACAGGAATATCAGCAGAGCTGTTCAGCCCTGGTGCGCAGAGAGAGCTGAAGATGGAAAAGAAACAACCCCTCTATATTTGCATAACCTGACTTGCTGTTTATAATTGTTCACCATCCATTCTTTTTAAGAGTTCCAGGTGCTCACCTTAAAGGTCTCAAAATCCCGGGTAAACCTCTTTGGGGATTTGCCATGGGATAATCACTTAGATACCTAAGCTAACTTAAGATGGTAAAAGCACTTAAAAAGCACTTAAAAGCCCACAAAGCAGCATCCAGCAACGTGGAGTCATTAAAGAAACCCGACTACTCCAGGCTTTAATAACCATGAAGTGATTTAAGTCTTCACACTTGAATGAAGTTTAATGGCATGAAGACATGAAGGGTCATGTTTTTTAAAATACGTTTTCAAAATTCGTTATATTTTCAACCCTGTTGGTTTTTTTAATTGTGTGAAGCCACACATCTCGTTGAGACCTATTTAGATCATAAATTTGGTACCACTTCAACCTTTTCCAGCCCATTTAATTGAATAAAAGCTTGGTGAGCATATATATTCTTACCCTAAGCACATTCTGTATGTAAAACCTTGCATCTGAAATGGAGCTGAATTTCAACACAGAAAAATATGTTAAAACATCTATATCAGTGAATTGGAACTTCTTTTGAGAAGAATCATCTGTTAGCTGGGGAATAAAACCAGGAACAAGGAGAGAGAGTGAAAACTCCCAACGTATCAATTAATAAGGTGTTGAGAGACTATCTTTATATAGGATATCTTTATTTATCTTTATGGGGATCATAAAATAAAGGTACCATTAGAGATAAGTTACAATAAATATAAATAAAATAAATATAATAAATAAATAAAATAAAAATACCAAAGAAGATGATGGTATTAAAAATCCTAAACTCATTTAAGGAATATCTGTTGTAATGACGTGGGACAGAACTAACACAAGTGACTGGCAGATCCTCAGCCACCCTGGGTGAATTATCTCAGACTGTAATTAATGACCAAACAATTTTGCAGTCTTAGGAAGTTTCTTCCCAGTTAGTTTGAATCCTTTCCTTCATCTGCTGTGCACTGGATCCTGTTGAAGGCTATGGGGAAGTGTCCAAGGCCAGGTTGGACAGGGTTTGGAGCAACCTGGGATAGTGGAAGGTGTCCCTGCCCATGGCAGAGGGGTGGAAAAAGATCCTTTTAAGGTCCCTTCCAACCCAAATCAGTCTGGGATTTTGTGATTCCATGATATTTTGAGTGTTTGCAACCCAGGTAACAGACTTTTAACTGGCTACAGGAATTAAAACAAGCATTCACAGACCTTTTAGATAATTTAGAGACACACAGCTCACCACAGACATGATTTTAACTGAAACCTGTGATGATTTAAACCGTTTAAATTAAAGTGCCTCTCCACTTTTGAAAACTTGCATCACTTTAGGCTCATTAAGTGAACTTCAGCAGTTTAATTTGGCTCATCTGGGCTTAAAAAATTAATCCAACCTCCAACGGTCTTTTTTTTTTTTTTCCAGCCTCTGACAGAGGGAGGTTTTTTTGGGAATGGTTGCCTTTTACCCACTGCTCACGGGGGCTGGGGATGGGGCTGAGGGTGGAGAACACATCCAGAACCAAAAGCTCCTAAATAAAAATATCTGACCTGGTTCCTGGGTCAGCCACCAGGACGTCGTCTTTGAGCAGAGCAAGGGCATCCTGCGTGTTGCCCTTCCAGAGCAGGCTGGTGGATCGCAGCCTCCTGGGCAGACCTGTGGCAAAGAGAGGGAGAAATCATGGAAATGATGTCTCTGGTGAAGGGAGAACAAAGGAAAGCTTCAATGGAAAAATGGGAGCACCGTGGGGTGTGCTGCAGTCTGTTTCTGATACCTGAGATCCAGGAGAACATTGAATTTCATACGATTTTATGAAATTTATGAGCGCGTTTTCATGGTGATACGTGAAAAGTCTTAAAGTCACTGGGTGAAAAAGTTAAAGTTTAGAGTTTAAAACAGTTTAGAAAGCAGAAGGCAAGATGGAGGATTTAGAATGTTTATTTTCCTTCTTCTTTCTTCTTCATTTTCTTCTTCTAGAGGTTTTTGGGTAGTAGTAGGTGATTGGATAGAAAATGCCACAGTGCAGCACACAGGTGATGGGTCATTGGGTCATTAAGAAAAATAATTTATGTGTCAACTGTTAATTGGATAAAAATAAGTATAAAGATAAAAGAATTGCGTAGTTCAGGGTCATTTTGTGCCTTCAAAAGCCAAAGTGAGCCACAAGGCCATTTTGTACCATCAGAAAGAAATGAGCCAGACTGCAGTGAATTGAACTTGTGCAGAAAGTCTGGAGAGACCTGCCAAGTTTTGTGATAACATCCTGATTTTTGAATCACCCCAGCTCCTCTTCACAGGATCTATGGCTTGCCTAGGCCAGAACTTGGATCACTTTTGGAACGGAATCCTTGCTGCCAATTCGCAACTTGCTTTGATGCGGAGTTTTGGCAGGGAATTGGGAAATGTATGTCTCTGACAGGAAAACGACTCACAACTGTGTGCTCAGAGACCGTGTCTTAATCATGGATTCACTAAGGTTGGAAAAGCCCTCCAAGATCACGGAATCCAACCATCAACCCACGTCCCCAAGTGCTACTCCTCACGTTTTTTTAATGCCTCCCAGGGTGGTGACTCCACCACTTCCCTTTCTTCCCAATCTTCGCCAACGCTTTACAAATCTTCCTCTGAAAATCTGATTCCTAATATGGGATCTGAGCATCCCTTGGTGCAGCTTGAGGCCTTCTGCTCTTGTCCTGCATCCTGGCAAAGCTGAACGAGGCCCATTTCTTTTCCTGGCAGCAACACCCGTTTTCTTCAGCTGGCCTGAACTTGGCATTTGGGCTGGAGTGACAGCACTGCTTCTGCCCCTGCTCTGGGGTTATTTGTGCAGCTGCAGGAGCAGAGAAGAGATGCACTGACATCTTCCAGTGGACAATGGGCTCCTTCATTTCATACTTGCCCCAGTGGCAGCAAAGAAAACGCTGGAGCAGTGGGAGAGTTCACCAGTCTCCTTGAGGTTCATTGGAAACGATAAACCAGAGCGTAATATAATCCAGAGCCATTGATTTCTACCTCGTGGGCTGCTAATTGAAGTGACAAGCAGGTTGTTAATAATTTACAATCGCATCCCATCCTGTCATTCCTGTGGATTTGAAAATCACGCTCTTAACAAGTTGGAGCTTCCCTCCAGCAACGGGACCATCGAGTGCTGAGGAGAAAAACCTTTGGAGTTACTTTTGTAAATGTGCAGTGGAGAGCCCAGATAATGAGGATCTATTACAGATCAGCTTCCACAGGAAGAATTTAGATGAAACCTGCTTTACAACGTGTCATGCAGTGCCTTTGATCCCAGTGCTAAGCAGAACTTTTTCCTCTTTGGGGTTTGACACGCGGCAAACGGGAAGCGGAACCGGGAGCGTTCCTTTGATTTGCAGTTGGGATGTGGAAACTGTGCATCTCCTTCTGCTGAATTGTCAAGGTCCAAGGGTTGGTGTGTCCTGTGGGGGTGCTCTGGGAAATTTGGGCCACATTCTAAAATCCAAAAATACGTAGAAGCATAAAAGGAGCTGAGCAGGGGCAGAAATCCAGCACGGTGATGGGAGCAGTGGAAGGGCTACACAGTACAAGGAATTATGCCATGACCAGCTACTCTTTTGATTTATACTCCTTACAACATTTCTGGGGTGCATTTCACACCTTCCTGGGTGACAGGAGCAGTCAGAGCAGCTTTACCAGGCAGAATTGCTTCATCAGGCTGGGTAGAGCCACACCTTGACTGCAGGGAGAGGGGCTGGGCAGGGATGTGGCCACTGGCCACTTTGGGTTGTTCATCTGCTTCTTTCCAGGTTTCACTTCATCTTGGGGAGCCCTCATTTTCATATTGGCTTGCTTCAAATGGTGCTATACCCCATCCTGAGGTCCTGTAAGTTGCAGACATTCTATTTTGACTTTAAATCCTAATTTTAGGGCATTTATTCCGATCTGGAAAAATGCAAGTGTTACGCAGAGATTAACCAAAATACCACAGCTGTGATATCAGCACAGTGTCTTTGGCCACCACATTTTGTAATCCCTCAGTCAAGTCTTAGCAGCTTTGTTTCTGAGGAAGGTTAAAGTTCTTAGTCCTGTGAGTCCCTTCTCCCTTCATGTAGGAGTTCCCCAATTCTGAAGGTAGCAGCAGATTAACACTTCTCTGACAGCAAGTGCCAAGCTATTAATAGCCCAGGAATCCCGGATCAGGAACCACACTGACAGCTAAATTTAGCTCAGCAATCAAAGTCTTTCTATTCAAAGCAAAGAGGTTTGACCCTCAACTCTACATCTCAGCAAAATGAGAGCACTTGGGGCTGGAGTACAAAACATTGGTGTGCAATTGGAGCCTGGTTTCAAGTCATGGTACCATGGAGAAAGGAATCTGTACTCACCTGAAAGGAATCTGTGCTCACCTGAAAGGAATCTGTTCACCTGAAAGGAATCTGCTCACCTGAAAGGAATCTGTGCTCACCTGAAAGGAATCTGTGCTCATCTGAGTGGAATCTGCTCACCTGAAAGGAATCTCTGCTCACCTGAAAGGAATCTGCTCACCTGAAAGGAATCTGTACTCACCTGAAAGGAATCTGTGCCCACCTTGCAGGGGAAGGAAAGCTCCTCACCTCAGCCCCTTTCCTGTCAGGTGTCCTGGACAAGGGTTCCCTTTGAGCACCCCTGAAGTTGCTGACTCCCTGTTTCCAAGAGCCCTGCCTGTTCCCTGGGAATTTCACAGGGTCCAGACTGGGAAAGAGCCTCCCAGCAGCATTTTTTTAACTCCTGCAATATGCTCTGCCCCCTCTTTGGTGTTTCCAGGGCAGAGAGGGACACTTAGGGAGCTCACCTGAGAGCTGGCTGGCCATTCTGCGCAGGGTGACCGGGGATGGCTTCAGTGGCATCGAGCCTTTTTCCAAAAACACCAGCCCGTCCGCTGTGTATCTCTGCTCTGAGTCCTTCAGCCTCCCCAGAGGGTTCTTGATAACAAAGTTCTGGGCATAACGCTCCAGTGGGTCATCCAGGGATG